TCTCTCGCGTTTCGTTTTCGCGCCCTCCTTTCGACAATTTAAACTAAACACTTCTCGTAAATAAACGCACGATACAATAATGACCATACGTTTCGCGGTTAATAAAGAAACCGAATCGATAGTACGCGCCCTCTTCCTTTCTTTCCCTCTACCCATTTTACACCTCCTCCTCTATATTTACACCTTACGCGACAATGCGACGATATTTCTCGATACCATTTTCCCTTGAAAACACGTGCACACGTATGTAATACACGTGTGCGTGTGTGCGTGTGTGTCACATGCGAACATGTGTTCCCGTGATTGAGTATACATATTGTATTATATGTCCGTTTGCGTATGAATATGTCTGTATACATCCTTCTTCATACAACTTCTCTCTCTCTTTCTCTCTCTTTCACACGCGCAATCGTACTGTCGTCAGAGAGTCATCATCATCATCATTATCATCTTTCGCGCACGCACATTTTCTCGCATGCCTTTCACTTGTTCGATTTTGTTTATCGTTTATCGTTCTTTTTTTTTTTTCTTTCCCGCGAAATATTAACACATTCGAGATTGAAAGGAGCGGCAAATCTTCGGCTCGAATCGAAAAAGAAAATTATAAAAGAAATGTAATATTGAGGTATATCGATAAAGACACTCGTATCGTAGAACAAGCGTGTACAAAAGGAAAGGATACGTAGAAAATTCTTTTTTTATCCGTCATTTTAGAATATCGTCTCGAATGTGTTAAATGCTCGTGAGATTCTCTCTTCCTCTCGAGGGGGCTCGAAACGCATTCGAATACTATTCTTCTTAATCAAAATATCCTGTATCCTTCGAGATACGTCGAAATATATTAGATTCTTATTAAATGTTCTTTGATTATTTTTTTAAAATTATAGAGATATAGCCATATGCTTCGTAGGAAGTTAGAATCGGGTCTGATTTATTTATTTATTTATTTATTTATTTATTTATTTTCTTTCCTAACGAGGACGGCGCAAAGAAAATAGATAGAACTTCGATTTTCACGAATTACGTGCCTTGAAACATATCGAAATATTTCGATCAAGAAGAACAGTTGATTATGTTTCGCGATCAGGGGCAGGTCGGAAGTCGTTCCCTTCATTTTCTTAAAAGTTTTTCACGAACAACGAAACAGACGTATTTTTTTTTCTTTTTTTTTTTGTTAAAGAGTATCTAACTAACGTACAGATCCATGTGTTTTACGTGTTTTCCTTTCCCCCGTTTAACTGCAAAATAATACTGAAGTCTGCACATGGTGCCTATCACATATGTCTATTACGCAGTCTCTTTTAATTCACAGTCATTCCAAGTAACTCATACGCACGATCACATCCTGCACAAGCACACATTTTTTTTCTGCATTTTTTTTTCTTTTTTCTTCTTGTTACATACAATTACAACTCGCGATCCACAGAGAGATATCGGATCAAACCATAAATAACATCGTTTTTAAAGTGTATTTCCCATTTTTTCGAGCATATTTCTAATTCCCTTTTCAAAAGGATTAGATATTAACTCTAATTTCTTATTTAAAAACTTTTGGATCAGAGAAATATATATTTATTACAATTGGAAAAAAATTCTTTTGAAATTCATTATCTAATCCATTCTTTATTATATTAATGCTTGTAATCTCTTTTTTAAAAAAATTAAATATTAATTTTAATTTTTTCAACTTGTGCGATCTCCATTTTCTTTTTTTTTGCAATTTAAAAATTATTAGATCAGAGAAACATATATTTGTTACAATTGGAAAAAAATTCTTTTGAAATTCATTATCTAATCCATTCTTTATTATATTAATGCTTGTAATCTCTTTTTTAAAAAAATTAAATATTAATTTTAATTTTTTCAACTTGTGCGATCTCCATTTTC